CCCCAAAACCCCAAAACCCCAAAACCCCAAAACCCCATAGGTAATGAACGAGGTTGAATTCTGGGATTTGAAGGCAGTTTGCTAACAAAAGAGCAAGTATGAACGTTTGTGATTGGGATCTGACCTGTGGATAAGGCTAGGAAGTTCAAGAGAGCTTAAATTTGGTAGGATAAACCTTGCCATTGGGTGCTAGAACCTCTGGGGTTCATGCCCAAGTCTTAAATAAAAAGCCCTACATGTATTATCACATTATTTATCCTCTTTTTAACAATGATGAGAATTTTAAGCACCAAAAACCCTCTAGAACAAACTATTTTTTGGGTTTTCTGCTGTGAGCAGCGATTAAGGGAGATTTGAGGCTAGACAGTAGGCTAAATTATATTAATTGCTCTTGGTAATTTGGCAAGACCAATAAAGGAAGATAAAGTCATATTTTTGACGAAAATGTTAGTAAATACTTAAAATTGATACAATATCTGATCTCAGCATCCTGAGCTTCTATGCTGATGAAAATGCAATAAAACTCTATTCAATAGACTAATCCTTGCATTGTGATTGGCTCAGAACATGTTTTCAGGAATACCCATAGGCACGAAATGACCAGACTAAATTGAAGTACTGATGATTCAGATCAGAATTCTTGGCTAACGGCTGAGATACAAAATCCACGAAATGATTTGAATTAATTACAATTTAGATTAATTAGTTAGTTAACACAGAATTTATGGTCTAGACATGCATCCGAGACCTCTAACTGATATAATTTAGGACAACCTAAACATATCTTTGAAGCATCAATCGTTCTCATCGATTAAGGCCTTGGGAATAGAAGCCGTTTTCATAAGCTGAGGTGATTTTTTTACGAAATCAGATTCCATCAGGAATGGTGTCTCTTGAAATATATCTGAAGTTGAGCTTAGATACTGATCTGCATCAAACGATTCATCCCAGATCTTATCAAGCCATGAGTCTGGTAGATTAGATGCCCCACCATTAGAGCTTGCCTTATGTGATGCTTGGGTGGTCACCTGTGTCTTCTCACATCCCATAGTGGTATTGGTTGCCAAAGAGTTACTCTGTTCTTTCTTTTTGACAATTTTATCTGATATACCGGGCCTTCAAATTTTATCAGAATTCTCATAGATTGTTATATCAGAAATTAGCCTAGCAACTTCCAGATTATAATCAATCCGGCTGACTGCCAATTTTGGAAGGCAAGGGTCCTCGAGGCCGTCTGCCTCCTCAATCTTCCTCTGTTTAGTTCTGAGAGGATTTTTGGAGTTACAAGATTTCCGAGATCTCTTCACTCCTTTTCTTCTCCTAGGTTTATTCTTATTATTTTTCTTCAGCAATTTTTTCATTCGCCTCTCCAAGCTGAGCTTCTTGTCAAAGCCCCATTTGTAAATCTGGGTGGTCCCAAGGTTCAGGACCTCCTTACAGTATTGAACTGTTTTTCTGGTCCATTCAGGGTCTTTGGCAAACTGAGATTCCAGAAACTTTACTTCCTCAGGAGTTTTAACTCTGATAAGGCGTGTCTTCTTCATGATATAACAGTCTTGGAGGGACACATTTTTCTCTGAGATTTTCAAAGCGCCAGAGGAATTCTCACTCTCGTTAGCCTTTTTAGCACCGTTAGCCAACCCAACATTGATGTTAACATTTGATATCATTAATATAGCCGATCTTTTACAAAAATTATATTCTTAGTAATAATCAATCTATAAATACTTACCTGGGGTTTTGGGGTTTTGGGGTTTTGGGGTTTTGGGGTTTTGGGGTTTTGGGG